CCTCACCCTTGGAACTTCCAGTGAAGACTGTGGTCTCCAAAATATGTGGCAATTGTTGTTTGATGCACAGGCTAGTTACGCTGCAAAGTTTTGGAGGATCCAATTATGAAGAACATATGGGTACACCTACCTTAAGTTCAAAGTTATGTGGAGAAATACCACGAAGTTCAAGAGAGTTTAATGCCTCTGTTAGATAGTGCACAGCCTGATCAACATTTATTACAGTATCAACCGATACATAGCTTTTTGTTTGGCCAGGTAATAGTTTCAGCATGGAAGAATTATTTCACTTACTGCTTCATTTTTAGGGGCAAAAATGGCTCTTTCACATAGCCACTTGTGGCTTCTGATATTGTTCTTTATGTTATGCCTTTGTATCATGAATCTTTTATCCACCTTTCCCAGCTCCTATCAAGTAAAGTTAATATTTTCCTTCAGTGAAAATATATTTCCGATATATACTGACCTCCTCTCACACTTACAGCTATTCTTGATTTGACTGCTCTCTAATACGCAAGTTTTTCCTCCCCACGTGTATACCACATGGTTCAGCTGCATTTAAGCAAGTAACTGTCCTCCACAAACATGAATGTGACAAATCTTCCTATCACAGCTGACTCCCTCTATGTAATTGAACCAAATCTTCATTTTGAGATTAGGCATGAAAAACGACACTAGAAGTGGGTAGTGTGAGAGGAGGTATCTACCAGAAATATATTTTCAGTGTAGGAAAATATTAAGTTCCGACAGGATTACTTACAGCTAGAATCCCATATGGAGCAGGTGGAGAGACTCATGTAAAATTACCTAGATGAGCATCCATGGAGTGTATCCTCTCTATACAGAGGAAACACACTCGTGGGAGACTGCACCACAACTGAAACAGGTATACTCTTTTCCCACATGGAGCCAACAGGTGTGGTTTCACAATCAAAAGGCAGAACAAGGTAACAATACCAAATCCTTAAGGAAGGGGAATGTGTGTAGAATGGCCAGAGCATGTCAGACCATAAGTGGGAGGTCAACTCCAGTCTAGACCAGTGGCACCAGGAGGAACTCAACTAGTCTATGGTAGGAAGAGGGTCCTCAACCATTCACCTCAGGTCTAGAAACCAGAAGGGAAGAGAACTTAAACCATCATGTGTGCAAATCCAATACAAGCTGCAGCAAGAAACCCCGGGAACATACACCCAGAAGATGTTAGGAACTTGGCAATGGGGAAGTAGCATCCAGTCTGTGGTAGGAGGAAGTTCCCAGTCCACTCACATGTGAGGACTTATGTTGGCTGGTCCACCTCCAACCAAAATCAGTTGCCTAAGAACTAACATCCAGGCAGCAGTAGGAGGGAGGGTTCCAAGCCAGAGGGGTTAACTGCAAAATAAAAGGAAAAATCCAATCCAGAAAACATCAGACCCATGGCAGGAGGAACACAGGCAGAACACCACCACTTTATGCTTGACTGAGTGGAGTATGCACACTAAGGAGGATTCCTCCCTGATCCACAACCCCCAGTGGCTAGGAGCTGATGAGTAGTAAGAACTCCCACACTCCACCGGAAGGTGGGGGTGGGGGGAGAAATGCATTGGAAAGTCTGAAGGAATACATCTTCGGAAAAAGTGCAATGGGTGACCAGAAAATGTTAGAGATGGACAGCAATCTCTTTCTGCTTTATTCATGTTAGTCCATGAGCATATGGTCCAGTACGAACATATTTATGATGCAATATACTGCAAGGAAGAACCTGCAAGCAGTCTTGTGGAACATCTAATCACAACAGTAAGTGTGGTAGACCTTATACATCTAATGATAAGGATTTTGGATATCATTATACTTGAACAGACACCACTCACCACAGATCAGTATCCATAACATGTAAATTAGCCCCCTGAAAAAAGAAAAGAAAAAACTTACCCAATTAGAGTTGTACTGACGTATGGAGAATGGCTACAGGGGGAAAGATGATATCTGGATAAGCAAGAAACTGCCAGATGGTGCAAGTTGTAAGACACAAAGGTGTGGGGAGTGGTACACATGCCAGTCTGGATAATCTCCTCCACAGGATGATGGAAAGGAGCAGCCAAGGACATTGAGAGATGATGGATTTGATGGGGCAAAACACAGAACAACTGGTAAGATTGAGGATAAAAGGAGTGAGATCCACAGATGGGTGCTGTACAAGACACATAACATTGTAAAGCATGGACTGAACACTGGAGATGATTTAGATCAGAGCAGGAGTAAATATGGGATATAAAAGAAAGTGAAATAGGGGTGATGGTAAAATTGCCTTTGCAGTCAGCTGACATCTTGGAAAGGAAGGAATGACCGGGATATAAAAGGCCATAGGTTTTGTAGTACAAAATGTGGTGCATTACAATGTCAAACACGTCTGACTGGCAATGTCTACAAGCTAAAAGGAAAAGGAAATACATATTCAAGGAAAGGTGATATAAGAAACATGAGGATAGCATATTGAAGGGAGGAAGGGAAAGGGCATGAAAAACAACATTTAGAGTCCAGTCTGGCAATTGAGTGGAATGAAGGACTATAGAGACACATAGACCGAAATAAAAGGGAAATATCTGAAGAGGTAAACACATGGCAAAAACGAAAGCCACGCATGAATCCAGAGTGTGGGAACAGAGTTATGAACCACCCTTAAGTGAGGTTACTAGAGGAGGGACAGGAAGAGGTAATGGAGGTACTTCCTGGACAAAATGTAGATAACGACATGAAGCCCAAGCAATAGGGATGTGAAGATAAGTGTTGGACACATTGAATCTAGTCATCCAAAGGCCTGTAAGAAAAGCCCATCTGAGAGACAGGTAGGATTCTATAGTGAACTGAGGCATGTCATGAAAGCAATTCAGATGGGAGAGATCAGAAACATGATGCCAATACCCAGTTTCTTAAGGATGACAAAAAATCAGGAATAGAATCCTGGAAACACAGGAAAAACCTGTTGAATGTCACACTGGATGAGGTCTTGAACTGCTTCTGTGAGATACTGGTGGGAAATGGGATCTTGAGAGAGGGAAAGAAACTAGGACAGGGGATAATGTGGGGGGGAGGTGAGGAAAAGGAGGGAAGAGTCCTGACAAAACTTGAATGGCCCAATGGTTTGCTGAATGATGATATGCAAGTTCATGAGCCTCTGCACTATGCGAGTTGTGTGTCATCAAATTCCAAACAATTTCATCACCTAGTTTGGTTTTTGGAATGAAATATGATGAGAGGGATGTTACTTACATGTGATGTGACTAGCCAGGTCTAATAGGGCATGAATTATAAAATGACGCTGCTCCTTATAGGGTTAATAAGGAAGGAGAGGGATCAAATGACATGGGTGATAAAAATAAAACACAACATGAGCAATTAGGAGGGAGTTTCAAGGCTTGTGTAATGGGACTCCATGTAGGCTAGACTTTTGAGCTCAGCTTTAATACCAGTTACAAATAGATTTATTTAAATCCATGTATGCAGTCATGAGTGGAGTACACAAGTCACCAACTCAAGGAATTTTATGGTTAGAATAAAGGATTGACTCAGAAACAGCTTCAAAACACATACAATACTTTAATATAAAATATTTAAACATTCATCTACATCTTTACCAGTTGGGCTGGTAAGGTCTAGAATGAACATCAGGTTTCAACTGGCATCCAAAAACATTAATTTTTTATCTACATTTTCATAAATCAGCTAACTCTACATGCTTACTTTGCAATTAGGTTCTCTGTTTAACTGGTAAATTCCAATGTTTTCAATTAAAAACCAAAACTAATTGTTAAATGGTTATGGACAAGAGTTGTTAATTTCTCCTTGTCTTCTTTCTGATCAAAGTTCCACCAGTGAGTTTTTTTACTCAATTTCCACTAGTTAGCATTGATAATACAAATTTTCTGTAGCCTTTCTCTATGCTACAATCACATCTGTTTATGTAGATAAGACAAACTACTAGTTTGTACTGCAGATTGGAATGCATTGCAGTATTTGTTTTAATGTATAAATTTCTTTTTTTGGTCAAGCATCTCTACATAACCATCACTATACATTTGCTAATGTACATGTCATTTCTTCACTTGACATGTATGTGTATCATACGATATTTAGGAAAGTTATATTTTTCATCCAGTGAAGCTATTGTAATTTTCCCCAAAATGCCTCAAATGCTATATTGGTGGTGAACGAAAATTTGTGCAGTAGAATGCAGTCAAATCA